GTGAAACCTCCGACAGGACAATATCAACAAAGTCAAAGGTAGCACTGTACACACTGGAAGTGAAATCTTCGTCAAAATAATATCATTCAAGTTCAAAGGAATGAGCACCATACACACCAACCAGTGAAGTGAGACCTTTGTGAAAATTGCATCAATCAATCATTTCTGTAATGATATTTGTCAGACATTTTAGCTTATGTCATGGTGCTGCGTCCGTCGTCCGTCAACTTTTCCTTTGAACAACTTCTTCTGAAGAACGGACAGGCCTAGAGTCATGATATTTGGCTGAAAGCTTCTTTGGTATGAGCCTGTCAACAAAAATGACCTTGACCTACTTTCAAGGTCACAGGAGTCAAATGTGTCAAACACTGCAAACGACTTCTTCTGAAAAACTGAAAGGTACAGAATCTTCATATTTGGCTGGTTGCTTCCTGAGATAGAGCCCGACAAAGTTTGAGAATTCTAATTACTTTGAACTTCTTTCAAGGTCACAGCAGTCAAATATATGTAAAACTCTTCAAACAGCTTCTCCTGAAGAACTAAAAGGTATGAATTCTTCATATTTAGCTGGTGGCTTCTTGGAATAGAGCCCGATAAAGTGTTAGAATGAAAATGACCTTGACCTACTTTCAAGGTCTGGGGGGGGGGGGGGGTGTAAAATGTGTCAAATACTTCAAACGACTTCTTCTGAAGAACTGAAATGTATAGAATGTTTATATTTGGCTGGTGGCTTCCTGGGATAGAGCCCGACAACGTTTGAGAATGAAAATGACCTAGACCTACTTTCAAGGTCTCAGGGGTCAAATATGTCAAACAATTCAGCGACTTCTTCTAAATAATCTTAGAGTATAGATTTATTACATTTGGCTGGTAGCTTCCTGGGATGGAGCAGACAATGTTTGTGAGTGAAATACTTGTAGTACAGGATTATATTTAATGAGAATATTGTGCTATGACTTTAAATATTAATGTGAGCGATACAGGCCCTCTGGGTCTCTAGTCTATCTAAGGTTGGTGGAACGTAATCAAGATTGTATGTAAGATCATTTGAATGAATATGAATTGATTAGAAATAGAAACTAATTTGTTTCAATACTTTGACAGGCAATGTTGGTGCTGTGATGGATGATGTCAGTGCTGTCAGGTATGATGTCAGTGCTGTGAGGGATGATGTCGGAGCTGTCAGGGATGATGTCGGAGATGTGAGGGATGATGTCGGGGCTGTCAGGGATGATGTTGGGGCTGTGAGGGATGATGTCAGTGCTGTGCGGGATGATGTTGGGGCTGTGAGGGATGATGTCAGTGCTGTGAGAAATGATGTCGGGGCTGTGAGGGATGATGTTGGTGCTGTGAAAGAACAACTTACCGTCATATCAGTAGACAGGGGTATGATGGAAAGCAATGATACAATGTTGTATAGAAATTATAGAACAAATCAAAAATTGGTGTTATCACAAAACTCTGTAACATACAACCTAGGTCGTGTCAGGAACATATATGTAATGTCAATGTCAGTCACAAAAGTCACTGCTATATGTAAAAAGAAACACTCTCCAAAAATTGAAACAAACTATAATGATTTGAAAGCAGTTAAATTTCTGAATAAGAATGTTAGAGAATTCAGTGTTTTGATTGAGCAATTTTAGCCCAACATCATCAGTTTATGGTTTGTTCAAATCGCCTTTTGTTTGTGGTTCGTCATTCATCCATCCTTTTATACTTTTCGTTGCTGCTATTTCTCCAAATATACTTATCGAGTCTTTCTCAACTTTCACATATAGGTTCCCTATTGTCCTTAGTTGTTCGTATTGAATCCTGGGACTGACCATGAATTTGCAGAGTTAAAACTTAAAAATTCTTGTTAGGACTATTTCTCAGGAGGTATTGGTGGGATCTGTTTCGAATTAAATATGAATGTTCCCCATGGTCCATTGCTATGCATATCGAAGTTTGAGACTAATCACAAAACCAAGATGGTGGAGAGGGGGCCATCTTAAACTTTGAGAGTTAATGTTTGTTAGGACTTTATCTCAGAAAGTACTGGATGGATCTTTCTCAAATTTTACATGAAGGTTTTACAGTCCCAAGTTATGTGTATTAAATGTTTGGACTGATCTGAAAACCAAAACGGCCGAAAGGTGGCCATTTTGAATTTTTGCGAATTGAATTTTGTTAGCGCTTATAATTTCTCAGAAAATACTGGAGGAGTCTTTATCAAATTTCATTGGAAAAAAAATTCCATGGTACCTAGATATGCGTATTGAATAGTGGGACTGATTGGAAAACAAAGATGTTAGGGAGGCAGCCAGAGTAAAATGTTGTTAGCACTATTTCTCATGAGGGATCTTTCTCAAACTGTACGTGAAGGTTCCCAATGGTCCCTACATAGCTATATTGATTTTGGGACTAATAGGAAATAAAGGATTGCCTCCTGACTACCATCTTAATTTTGGCAGTTCAATTTTGTTATCACTATGTTTGGTCCACTTGTTAGCTCACCTGCCCGAAGGGCTAGTGAGCTTATGCCATGGTGCGGCGCCTGTTGTCAACTTTTCCTTTAACAACTTCCTCTGAGGAATGGACAGCCTACAGTCACCTGGTCACATGGGTCAAATATGTCAAACACTTCAAACAACTTCTTCTAAAGAACTGAAAGGTACAGAATCCTAATTTTTGGCTGGTGGCTTCTAGGGATTGAGCTTAAGCTTGCGAATGAAAATTACCTGACCCACTTTCAAGGTCACAGGGGTCAAAAGTGTCAAACTTATCATAAAACTTTTTCTGAATAATCAAAATGCATAGAATCATATTATTTGGCTGGTTGCTACTTGGGATTGAGTCCGACAATGTTTGCGAATGAACTGCAAACAGCTTCTTTTGAAGAAGTGAAAGGCATAGAGTCGTGATATCTAACAAGTAGCTTCCTAAGATGGAGCCCAACAAAGTTTGCGAATGAAGATGACTTTTACCTACTTTATCCTATAGCTTTATTTCAATCTAATTTAATATAGATTATCATTGGCCCAACATAATTCAGTGTTGGAAGAAACCATGCCCCATCCCAATAGGGATAGGAGAACAGTATAATATTTATCTAATATTTTGCTATGACTGCTTAAATATTCAGGTGAGCGCTACAGGCCATCTGGGCCTCTTGTTGAAAATACCTCTGGCCCTAATGAGAATTCATCTGTCATTAACAGCCCTTCTATTTATGTACCGATTACAAGATTTCAGCATTTTGCATATAGTTATGCAATTCTTATGGAACAACATGTGCCATGGTGATAAAATTAACATATGACTAAGAGGTTTCGGTTACTGTACAAGTTTCCTGTTCAAGATTTCCAACATGGGACTGGGTAATACATGTAGTTCCTGTAAGGGAAATGAAGAGCAAAGATAATCTTCTGTAGAACTGATAAAGATCCTTTCATGGTGGTTGCCAAGATTCTTCTAGTGTCTCTTGTTAGACTGACCACAAGAACAAGATTGCTGCCAATGATCTTTTTTGGATTTGACAGTACAAGTTTGTAATCCCTATTTCTGAATTCTTCACAGATAGCTCTCATCAATTCAAATGTATAATCCCATAAAAAAGGTCAAAACATAACTGCTGCAAGTTACCACAAGATGCATTTGCAGTCAAACAGATAAGAGAAAAGTAAAGATCAATCTTATATAAAACCAATGAAGATCTTATGATGGTGGGTGTCAAGTTCCCTCTGGGATCTGATGTATTGGTAAGGGATTTATCTTTAAGTGCCATGCATATAAATATTAACTTACCAGCACTCAGATACATGTAGATAGGGAATGATATTGCCCTAACATGTGTTCACTACCTATGTTATACTGTTTACTAATATCAATGTCATGGTAGCCCTCATTATGGAGGGCAAAAAGGCAAAAATTATACTGTGGCAAAAATATCTTGGCCTAATGTTTCAGCGACCTATGCAAATACCTTTATATCTAGCATTCAACTGGAAAGGGATTTGTTTCGGAGCCGATGTATATAAAAGTTTTACTTGCAATTCTAATAATTTCTTTTCTTTTTAAAGGAAACAAACCAAGACGAGCAGCTATTGGTGAGTAAGACTGAGCAGACCAGGATTGGGTAACTTGTCGGAGAATTCTGCTGTGACGTTTGTAAATCCTATGTTGAACTGAAAAGGATATTGCAGTTCAGGCTGTTGATGAACTAGAGTCGACATTGAAGAGTTCCAAAATTAACAATGTAGTATTGATACTGTTACCTTATTTTGGCCCGATCACTTCAGAATGGATGATTACACAAAACCCAGACTTAGTATGTGAGTTGCCGGGGGAGGTGTTACTAAAAATAAACATTCCACATATATAACCTGCATAGAGCTTGCTTTGTCAAAGGTTAAGGTCACTTAGAATGGAATTTGCTTATCTGGATTTCATTTACATTTCTTTTCCAGACGAAAAGAAATTATATCAGTTATCTCAAACTTGGTATTTCAGTTGGTTTGAAAAATAGAGCCACAACAATTCCTGCCATTCTGTAGTCAAATCTTGTTCCCTCAAACCATAATAATTGAAACAACTGAATAATTCCAATTTTCAATTCTCATTCTTTTATACATTTTACTGCAGAAATTACCTTGTTTATTTAAATTTGCTCCTTGCCTTAGATACCTTCCTATATTTGGAATAGGAAATCTTTAACAAATGTCAGATGTTGCTCATTTCTTTGTTGTATTTTTAGCCCACCATCCTCTGATGGTGGGCTATTCAAATCACCCTTCGTCCATCCATCGTCCATCCATCGTCCATCCTTAAACAATTCTTGTTATTGCTATTTCTCAGCAAGTACAAGAGGGATCTTACTCAAATTTGATATGAGGGTTCCCCTTGGTCTGTAGTTGTTCATGTTTACTTTTGAAACTGATGGGATAAACAAAATGGGCGACAGGCGGCCATCTTGAAATTTGACCGTGCATGTTTATCACTATTTTTCAGAAAGTTCTGGAGGGATCTTTCTCAAATTTTATCTGTAGGTTCCCCTTGGTCCGTTATTGTGCAAATTTACTTTTGGGACTGATCAAATAAACAAAATGGCTGACAGAAGGCCATCTTGGATATTGACAGTGAATAATTGTTATTGCTATTCCTCAGGAAGTTTTGGAGGGAACTTTATCAAATTTGATAAGTAGGTTTCTCGGGTTTGTCGTTGTGCATGTTCGCTTTCGAAAGTGTTCATGAATACAAGATGGCTATAGGAAGTACTAATGTCAGTAGTAATGAGATCTTTCTGATATTGTAACTATCGGATATATTTCTCTTACATTTTAAGAACTGTACTAGTAGATATGAGAAATGGTGCATTTACTGTTTACATGATCAAACAGATAAGAGAAAAGAAGAGAAAAGATCAAACTGACATCCACTAATGAAGATGGTACAATGGTGGGTGCCAAGATCCCTCACGGATCTCTTGTTTTATAAATTTTGTTCTTTCAAATAATGTTAGTTAAAACAACTGAATATTTAAAATTTTCCATTCTCATGCATTTAACTGCAGAAATTACCTTGTATATGTAAAATTAGTCCTGGTCTTCAATACCTTCCTGAAGGTCTTTTGTACTTTGAGATTAAAAGTTCCATTGTGGGGTGGGGGTGGGGGGTGGGGGGTTGTATGCTGCCCCTAGCAGCTGTCTAGTTGTTAAAATTGTTAGCCCTATTAATATTTTTTAGGTAACCTGAGCTTTACTCAAGTGACCTATTTTAATCGCTTTCCGTCCGTCGTCGTGCGTAAACTTTTTACATTTTCAACTTCTTAAGAACCAGTGGATGGATATGTTTCAAACTTGGTCAGAATCATCCTTGGTAGATGAGGCTACAAAATTGTAAAATTGGGATTCCTACCCTAACCCCTGGGGCCAGGTTGGGTCCCCAAAGGGAAAATTAACCAATATTTCAAAAATCTTCTTCTCCAGACTCAGAGGTACTACAGTCATTTTCCCTGCATGGAAAGAAAGATCATCAGGGGCTTTATTTAAATTGTAAATTTCAGGACCCCCAAGCTATCCGTTCTCCCTTGGGGAGGGGGTAAAGTTTACTATAGTTTATATAGGGAAACAACACTTTTGGGTATATTTTGACAATTTTCTGTTGGAAATTATT